GGTTTTTCTGCAGCACCTCCTGGGCAAAGCAGGGGGCCTATTGTTTGAAGACCGGTGGCTTCCCTACGTTTCCATATGAGCTAAGCCTTTTTCTCTCTTCACTTTCTCCTCAGGCAAGTTCGCTCCTTGCAAATTTTACAGAAAGAAATGCACCACCTGAGGGCAACGCTGCACAAAATCGTAGTGTGATAGGTTAAGAAACCGAGTTTTGCGGTCGATTTAAAGAAGCTGACGGCTACTTGAAGCACCCGGTATTCGCGACTCCAGCGACCTATACGGGGCGCCACCACCAAACAAACATGGCGGCTGAGTCCAGGTCGCGTCGGCTCGGCCGTGCCGCCTGAGCAGGTGGCGCGTTCAATTTAACAGATTTTATTTTGTTTAATGCCCAATTTTATAGGTCTTTGAACTGAGACGGTTAAGTGTAGCCGGTGCACATAAACTATAGTTGTGTTTTCCAAGTGTGCTTTTTTTTCTTTTCACGTCAAACTTTCGTTTCGGAGATTTCGTTCGAAACCGAAACTATGGGCTCTGGAGAAACGGTAATATACTAATCAGTTTTGATCATCTAAAGAAAGCGGCAATGACTGCGGAATTCTCCCACCAACAGTAATTTTCAGCCAACTCGCATGCCTCGACCATGCGACTTATCTGTCTGCGAACTCGAGCTTTTGTGCGTATCTGCGTTGAAGAAACAGCTTCAGTCGTCTGCTTGGTCAACAGCACAGGCTGCAGGAAAATTACGAAAATTAAGCAAGCGCTTCTTGAGCCAAGAAGCATGTTAACCCGCCGGCACCCCACTAAGCAGCTGATACTCGTATTTCAGTTCAGCTTTTAGTAGCAATCGAGAAGTCATTTTGACGAGCGGGTTATGTATTATATTACGTTCTATGTCCCACTAAAGCGATATTAGTATATTTTTCGGTTTGAAATATGAGCTTAGGTAACTAGCCATTAGGTGAACTGATGAATAAAAGTATATTTGACAGGCAGAAAGATACTAAGTTAAACTTAGCCAAATGGTTCTAGCCGATAGCACGGAGACGAATGAGGACAAACTGAAGAGAGTCTTCATTGGAGATTCACGCAGAACCTCTCTGCATTGAACTTGACTTTGAATCCTGAACGGGAAAAAATGGGTATTTTTGTGGCCGGTCAACCTGAGCAATGTAGACGTATCTTGCGGCTGGATTAATTCGACGGGTGTATAATATAAATATTGGAGGCGCGATAGATCATAATGCCGTGACAGCTTCTAACGTTGCGAGACGCGCCTCCACCTTTTGAAAACAGATAATTTCCCTTATTCATCATTTGCAGCGAGCAGGTTTTCCTGAATTAAGTAATTGCGAAATCAGCCCAACTCCTTTAGAGTGGTCCAGAGGATTTTTCGGCGAAAAGCAACCAAGATGAATAGCCAACGCACCGACCGGCGTGGGTGGCTCAAACTTGAAGCTAATCGAACACAACCAAACTCAAGAAAAGCAGCTATCGAACCTTTCCATTCACTTGACTGCAGCATTGGTGTTCCCTCCAGTGAAATGCCTCGTCTGTCATCCTCCCACTGTTCTACATTCTTATAAAGAAACCCCATATCAGTTACCAAGTAGTCGTCACTTTGAATGTGATTCGAAACAGACAAGAAATCAAAACGTTTTTCCGCGATTCCTCCCCATCCAAGAAATCGAAAACACGTGGTGGAAGGAAACAATCTACTGAGGCTTCACCGCACTAATGAACGCTCAGGCAAACTTAAGAAATTTTCGGACCTTCGCGAAATTACACTGTTCGCCATCACGCCGACAACACGTGTCCGCGAAAGCCACCAGAGACTCGGAGGGGCGCGGAGCGACCTGGACCGGCTGGTTCCCGATTTTCCCGCTTGGTGGCGTCCGTTTTGCTGGAGTCGCGAATATACATATCTGCATATACATCTTACCAATGGTCTACCGCAGACAGCACCAAGTCAGCAAAATCTTATTTTTTTTTTATTTGTAATATGACGCCGGCAAACCATCGAGTCTCAATTTCAACTCCCCATGGAACCAATGCCTTGATCACTTCAGACACTGTAAGAGGTGACACATCGCAAGCTTACTGCAGGGTCAAACGTACATTTTCACATCCATTCTCACTGTGCCCTCGCAAGTTCACAAATAACTCCGTCATTCAAAACGCAAAGCGAAATTGTGTAATTGTTTTTACTTTTAAAGTATGTAGACTGTTTTATTCAACAAATATTGCGGATTATGACCAGACAACACAGACTGGAAGCGTGTCAGCCTGCGAACGTTGGTTGTAGGAACACTCTCCCTAATGTGAAAACGGTATCCGCAAAGAAACGGGATCTTTTTTTTATTTTTTGTAAGTTGTCGTAGTTGTTTCTTTAATAAAACTAAAATGAGAGGTATACTTCGTTTCATGTTAAGTCCAGAACCAGCTGGCGCTACGACATGATAGCACAAATCAGACAGAACCAAAAACGCACCTTCATGGTGCACGTCATGTTTCCGCGCGTGTCCTATCATAGTTACACCAACTATAAACAAAAAAGGTCCCGTGACTTGCGCTCTTAACGATGCTTGATTGGGACCTCTAGCTCGTAGCGCCGTTTGCGTTTTTATTTTTAAGCAAAGACCTTTTATCTCAACAACCAGGGCGCATCTCGGAAATATACCGGGGTGTTATATGGCACAAGACTTTGAGTAAATGTAATAAAAGCTCTTTGTACGTATTCCTTTTTCCGCTAACAGTAAGCGACTGGAAAAGCCTTACTAAAATTAGGAATTTTAGCAAGCAGTCACCGTGCTCTGCGTACCGCACTACCGGAGTCCATGAAGAATGTTTTTAAGCGCGCGCCCCGCAGCCCCAGTAACGCTTGGGCACGGTACCGCAGAACACGGTAGCGATTTGCTAAAAGTGTTTGCTATACGTCTCTAGTAAGAGGGACTTTTAGCAAACCATTACTGTATTCCACGTGCCCACTATCAGAGTCCTCAAAGCATGCTTTTAAGCACGCGCTTCCCGTGGTCACAGTAGCACTTGGGCACGCGCTTAAAAAGCATTCGTTAAAGCTTTGGTACTGCGGAACACGGGACATGGTAACGGTTTGATAAAAAGTCCCAGTTACCACGCAGCCATCGTTATCATAATCCTCCCATTCATATCAGTTTAGCCGCGGTATGAATACTAGTTTTTTATTGTTATAAAATTTGTTTTTGCACTGCTTCTGTTTGGCCAATTTGTTTGGCGTGCTGCACTGTATTCACCTGCTCAAAATGAAGCCATGCAGAAATAATTAATAAAAAAATATAAATGCATCTTCGGAAAAGTCTTCTACATAAATTTATTTTCGAAAATATAAACTACTGTTTTCTGCACTATTGGTCACGCTAGATGGCAGATACATTTGCTTGGCAACAAATTAAGATTTAATTATTTCCCATGCAGTTTAGGAGAATTCAGTTAGAGTTAAGATGCATATAAAATGTGATAACTTACACCCCTCATATACATCCCCCCGGGAACTTTGTGAGACGCTTAATGGTTGCTTCATAAATATGATAAAACTAAAAACGGAACGAAGATTTCTATAGGAGCCAACCGAGGAAAGCGAAGTTTTTATCCAGGTGCCTACAAAAACAGTCATAGGGCATAGATAATATTTGGATTAATAAATCTAACTTGTTTTTATATATCTAGGAAACTTCCGTTATTTGATTTTATCATGTAGATTTTATTGCTATTTAGCTGTTTTCACACATTTGCCAATACATTGAGCAAGTGCTAGATGTCCTGAATTGCTGGGGATATTACAAAACTGTGTGTCCGATAGTCGTCTTGAACGCACCGGAATGGCGACGATCGACGCTAGAGGTTCGAGGGAAAAAGCATTGAGCATCGACTAATAATCCGATGACTGGGTGTGCAGGCAGATGAGTGGAAGCGAAGCTGCGGGACTTTGTCCCTCCTGGGGAATCTGCGCCTGCCGGCAACCTGCTGTTCTTCAGGAGCGCCATCTCTGGTCCGGAGGATGCGCTTCTGTCTGTCGCGGACGCGAAGAAACCTGATGGGCCTTTATCAAAATGAACGCCGCCTTTTTGCTGGAACCCGCCCTGCCTTAAATATGACTAATGTTGTTTCTATTTGTGAGTTTCTGATGACGAAGAGCATAGTGCTTGCGTACAAGAATAAAAAGCACGACGGTAAAAAAGAAAAAAAGTAAAACGAAAGTTTTTTGTCTCTTTTCTTGACATAGTTCAAGTGTTTCAATTCAAGCAACTAACCAGATGAATATTTTAATACAATGTTAGCATTGATTGGTTAATCAGAACGTTGAATGATCAATCGCCCAGCCCTAATGATAATGCGTGTGAAACCTTAATTCCTCACCACCACAACGCTGATTCAATAAAAATTACGAGGGACAACTATAAACATATTTACACCGAACGTCTTGCCCAGGTTTCCACGAGAGCTTAACTCTGGTTGAGTAGGTGCCAGAAATATAATATTATTAACACCTTATATGGCATATATCAAGTTTTGATCTAAAGTTTTGTGATACCACTCCCGGTTGTATTTCGTGAAAAACAATGCCTCTATTAGTTATATCGGTAACACTTTAGATGCCTGTAAAGCAATCCTCGTGAAGTCGAACATGCTCCTTCTCTTGTTTCAATTAGCAATATTTCAAGTGAAGTAACTACACCACAGCTCTACAGCTATAATAGTATACTTTCCAGTACATTCTCATAAAAAGAGACGAAAAAAACTAAAGCACTGACTTCGAATAGTTGCTATAAATGGCAGTGAGGGAATCCCACTTGAGTAGTTTTAGCGAAGCATCGCCCCTGACCTTCGAACAACCGAACAACTTCCCCCTAGGATGTTTTCGCATCCGTTTGTCGCAGATATTACGCGGAAACGACTGGCCAGATAAAGTAACATCCACTAGATCCGGGAAACCCTGCGCTGTCTTACACTACGCCAAAGTTCTATTGGCGCTGATCTGAAGAACTCGTTTTTTGAGTTCACTTCTTTATTGCGGTGGCGAGTACCTTTAGCAACTCACTCCATCTCTTGATTGCATGGTTGCAAGACACATAATTGCAACAGGTTTCACAAGGCAAGCCTCACAGGCCGAAAGTTGTCCACCAGTTCTACGTGTGAATTCAAAATGAAAGCTCTCCTGCTGGTTTGCGTGCTCCTATTCGCAGCAGCGTGCATGGCGCGTAAGTACTTTTTTGGTTTTTTAGTAATTTTAAATAATCTTAGAGCACTAATTGCTTCACTCCACACTGTTTTATTTTTTGCTTAAGTACATTGGCTGGATTTATCTAATTTTTTTGTTTTATTTAAGAAACATTTTTATGTTTCGGCTGGGTGAAGTACATAAGTCTAAAATATTTAACGATGTAGTCGACGCTGCGATATATTTTTTTTTAAATAGAGAATATATCACTCTAGTGACATCAATTGCAATCGTGCTATATAGTGTTTAATTTATTCATATCATATACATGTTTTACGTCTTTCTTAGTAGCTAATTTTATCTAACGCTACATCTCAACGGAAGATTTTATTTAAAGATCTCTACTATTTTGTTTGAAGGTCCACGTAAACTGTATTGCGATGAAGTGTTTTGGTAAAGACTTTTCCAATTGAAATTCTAAATTCACAATGTTCATGTTTAAGAGGATCTCCAATTGGCGCCAATACTTCGACTAAATGTGAATTGCTTCAAGCGGTGGAATAACCTGGTTTTAAGTATACTTGTAGTCCAATAACACCGTACCGCGAATATGGTGCGGTTGAACTGCAATCAATAATGTGCTTATAGGGGCGATGCAAACATTTTAACTTCGAAATAACTTCCAGTTTTAATTTTTACATAGTGTATCTTACCAAAACTTATTAGGAAACCACCTCATTCTTTCGAAATGTCGCGATTCTGTTGCGTAATAGCAAAACCTAGACGACATATTTCCCGATTTGCAGCCGCAGGGTGGCGGCCTGGGGAACTAAGGCGTGACGAACACCTGTGTGGATTGCAATAAGTTGCCCCAGATGTGCCCTTAGGTGCTCAATCTAATGCTATATCTTGAAAATATTGTCGTTTGAACATGAATAAATGCGTCAAAAACCTTATATCACCGACACAGAGTTGTACTATATATTAAGTTTTAGTGGCGCCATCTTTCCGTGGTAAAAAAAACAAAACAAAAAAACATTCCTCCCTTGAGGCGCTTGAACCTCCCGTTGACTACCTCAGTTTAACTTCCTTACGCCACGGCCAGCGGTCTCTCTCTCTCTCCCTCCCCCCCCCCCCTTTTTTTTCTCACCTTCTCTCTGCATCGCCCAGACGAAACTTCAAGGTCGTCATGTGTACCGCAAGTAAAGGCCTCCCGCGCTGAAGGCTCTGAAAGAGAACCCAACTGAATTCTCCGTGTCCCAGTGCACACGCGAGCACGTCACTGCGCACTTGACCAACATCACCTAGAGCTGAAGGCCGCAACGCTCCTCCGGTGACGTCACACGAGTCGGCTGGCGAGCGCCACGGAAAAGCGCTGCACTGAAGGCGTCGCGCATAGGTTTGCCGACGTAGAATGGCATTTTTTATTCACCCGAACGTTTATTAATTGATAAAAAGGATTGATAAATGTCTATATCACTGGGAAATATATTTTGTTGCACGGGCAGCATATTAGGACGTACAATTACTGTTATGATATGAAAGAACAAGGTTCAAGACGTTTTGTGAGAGATGGGTCTTCGTTTTAGGCATCCAAATCTTGGGTACTTTAATTATCTCTAGGAAATTAAAGACGCAAAAAAAAAATAATAAATGCCCTGAAACGTTATTGTAACTGATGGGACCCGCCAAAATGCATAACAGCAACAATCAAGTAGGAAGATGATGCTTGCACATTACTGTTACTGAATTCTTATCTAAAGCTAATGAAAAGAAGATTATTAAAAAAATTTGGGCTTTAGGAGCACTAAAAAATGTAATGTGTTGAAATGCATTGTTTACCAGAAGTAAACATATAATAATAAAAACAAAACTGCAGGCGAGCCGAGGAATGTTTAGTATAAAGTAATTAATCCGACACTGAGACAGAAAGACGAAAAATTAAATGCAGAAAAGACACAAAAAAGAGGGAAAGACGCCGCCTAAATCGAAGTGCACAAGTTTTGATTTAACCGAGTGCTGGCAAACTTAGCAAACTTAGCAAACTTAAAGCATAAATCTCAGTAAGGGACACATGCAGCTGTGGGGGCTTCATGCACACATCTACCCGCGTTCATTCACACTACGAATAGATGCTGTGAATATCAGTTCTATTACCTTTGAAAGCTTCAGATTGTATATTCTCGTGTATCCACACCTTCTTCTTGTATTCAAACACAAGCAACTTAGACGCCGCTCTGTAGCTTTCGCAACACTAAGACACAGCACATGTACGGCAATGTACGCAATAATAATGCTATGACAACTGTTGCACTGAATATAAAATAATTATTTAGATTTTAGGGTTTCACATTTTCTTTTCTTTGACTTGGAATCAGCCTCATAAGCTTTTCGTTCCCCTTTCCACAATAGTTTTCCAGCACAATGTTCGTGCTGCGCACCAGAACAAGTTCTTCAGCACGAGCTCACTTTCTGTTGAATTAACCTGAGACTGGAGTAAAGAAGAAACATCAAAACGTAGAAGGGACAGAAAATAGACAGGACGACGTCTCAAGAGACGTCGTCCTGTCTATTCTCTGTCCCTTCTACGTTTTGATGTTTCTTCTCCAGCCCAGTCTCAGGTTAATTCAACATGGTTAATATTCACAAGCTCGCCAGCACCTTTACGGTTTTTTCTATCACTTTGTGTCCTACTTCGCATGCTTCGAAGTCAGAAGTCTCGTTGGTAGACAGCAGTTCCATTGTAAGCTCGCTGACGAACTGACGCTGGATCGGAACCTTCATGAATTCTGCTTGCTTGGAGGGTTCTTGAGCAACAACGTAATTGTGTGTCATGGCATTAACGGCGGACATAGCTGGATAAAGGAGTCCCCCTCGATCCAATTGCTTGACAAGAGAGTTGTTCTCCTGCGCAAGTGAAACTGTTGCCGTCTTATCTTCTTCGGTAAGCGCCGCCCTGAATTTTTGACATTTCGGCTTTTTCAAAGCGGCATAAACTGTGTACCCTGCCACGGAGACTAGGACTGCATGGGAGGGTCTAATTTATCGCTTGTGACACTGCCTCTCCTGTAACTATACTATGTTTAAGCAAGGCCGTGGCGTGTCTACTTATTTTTCAAGCTCCTCCCATCGCTCGTCTTCACACGGGAATGTCGGCAACGTACTTTGCAGTCGCAGCTTATTTTCACCTTCATAAAGCTGCCTTATAGATATGTGATATTGCGAGGCAGCCAGCTGCCTGTGCTTCCCGAAATGGTCTTCCAAGCTATCAGTCTGAATCTTTCCCAGCAGGAGATAGTTCAGCCCGTGTTCAGTGAAGCAGTATTTGGTGATCTGTACAAGTGCACGGGTTGTTTGACGGAGTGCTCCGTGAGTCTCCTTGGTTAGCGTGCGACTGGTAAGGTTCTCGCTCTCCCATACGTCAAGCCAGGCGTCCAGACAGTCAAAAATGCTGCACAAAAAATGCACATTGGGATTGTCCTTCGCAGAAGTCACTGGTTCTTAAAAGTCGTCTCTGAGTCACGTTCCTTTGTTCGGCGTCCATGGTAAAATTTCCCTCATATTTCGAGACCTCCACGATTTCATTGATTCCTTTAATAATATGCGCCACAGATGTAGGAACAAGAAGGGAACATAGAGCGAAGGCTACAGGCTCCTGACCCTGGTTTTGAAAACGGGAGCTCGCGCTACAAAGATACGTTTCTAAAATTAAAAGCGAGAGCTAGCTTGCGCTTGTCGCCTTCGCTGCCACGTCAGCGTAAAATTCAACAAAATAAATTCAATACTAAAAAAAAAGAAGAAAAAGCGTGAAAAAGATATGAGAGTTCTCACCCTGGTATGCGTCGATAGAACCAGGTTTTTTTCGAGGTATGGCCCGCACCCATACTTTTCGGAGTTCTTGATCCTCCGGGAACTTAAACACCGACACTTTCTTCGACGACGTTTCATAGTTCCCATGGCACCCAGGGGCACAGAATTTATGAGACATTGCTAGCCCAAAAGCCGCCCGTAACTTGACAACCACCACGCTCAAACCGCCACGCACACCAAACACAAAAGACAAAAGAGAAGAGACGGTTAGAGCAGGTTCGCGTACTCCCGCCGCGAAACTTGTGCAAGCCGCCGTGCGCTAAGGAGGCAAAAATTTGCCCATTGCGCAACTGCCCCGGGAGAACCCTGTGCTCGGAAAAAGCTAAAAAAGAAAAAAAAAAATGCGGGAGCATGCGCCGCTCGGTGTCTTTGAAAAAACACACTTAAGAAAAAAAAAAAAAAAAGAGAGAGTATGTGTTGCGGAGAAGTATTCGTCTCAGGTCGGCCCACTCGTCGTGAATCTGTGACGTCATAACTCAGAGCGCTGCGTCCTTTGCTCTAGGTGGCGTTGACTTGACTCGGAAGACGGTGTAAGGGTTGAGAGTGGTTGGGAGTCGTCCAAAATGTGAATTGTTTGACAATTGAAAAAAAAAGAACTAACGTGCACCGGCAAAATTATATTTCAGTTCCTTGATCCAGACGTGATAATGAACAACTGTCACAAATATTTACTTGAAGTCCAAACATTGTTGCGCACCACCTTTAATGCAAATTAAACATATATATATATATATATATATATATATATATATATATATATCATTTCCGTAAATTAGTGGTATTTGATAAACTTATGCAAATGAATCAAAACATGTAACTCCGCGTGGTGTAGTATGACTCGCAACTCAATAGGTGTCGATTCAGACGTCCTATTTATTTTAAACTGCACTGCCAGGAGGACAAAGACAAAACTGAGACAAGGGAATAACGGCATGTCCACAAGAAAAGCAGGATGTTTAAAATCAATGATGAAGACCAACTAGCCCCCCCCCCCCCCCCCCCCTTCCCCCCTCCCCTCCAGCTTTTTTGAACTGATGTTCCTGTTTGGGACCACAAAATACGTTTTTAAAATGCCAGAAATATGTATCGTGGTGTCCGTGTCCTCGTGAGATATTTCTTACATTCGCGAGAATTCGTCATATTGAAATGCGCATGCATATAGAAGGCGAA